TACCGACGGCGTTGGGCGCGTAAATCGAAAAAAGGCGCAAACAAATCGAGCTCGAATTGAACTCGAATCGCTGTCGACAAACTTGGAAATGTGGAGTTTGATTCCGAAAACTTTTATTTGCCCAAAACCCCGTAATAATGGATTTTTTGAAGACTTTTTGTAATATTAAGCAGAAACTTCGGACTTTTTACATAAGATATCACTATCCCACACTGAACCTAACACTAACCCTTACCCTAAACCTTATCCTAACCCTAACCCTAACACCTAACCCTCGCAAGTGAGACAGATGGACACCGGGCCCGGATGGATGAGGGAAGAAAGAGAGAGAGTACGGTAGACGCTGCGGAAAGTCTACGGTCCCTTAAACCTAACTCACACACAAATCACTGCATTAACCTGTTTGGAGCATATAGGGGACAACTTCGAAATAGATGGTTGAACTGTAGCGTACAAAACCAATATTCACTCACAAACCAATCAGGGCGCTCGATCGACACAAAGCTTTATCAAGTAACTTTCAACGGCTACATCACTCATGAGAACCTGCCTGTATGTGTTGGTCTGCGTACAAACCAGGGTGTTCATCCGTTCACCTCCGGTAAGGATACGGAAGTTTGTAGATGTATATTCCCATCATTTATGTTTATTGCAAATATAAGATGTATGACTTACCACTCAGATATTGATCTAGGATTCAACTTGGTGATCGCACATCTACACTAGACGGCTTGTTTGCTGCAATGAAGATACGCACAGTGCTTTCTACTGCGGGACATGGCCGATGCAATCGCGTAGTAAAGTAAACATTGAGGCCAAGAAATTACTATTCAGGAAAATATTTTGATCTGCGGAGAGTATAAGCATATGAATGTGGCCTTTTACAAGCCCATAAAACTTGCTTTTTATATTCTTGTTTCTGAATTAAAGCCCTAACCAAAGGTAGTGCTCTCTGAGCTGTGCCAGTGTTAGTGCAAACTAGCCGACCCCTACCTCTTCCCCCCCGTATTCATGCATGGGTCTATGTCCTCTGTCGTCCAATGTACCTTCTACTACACAAGCTTTAATTTCTTTCCCATCTTCGTTGACATCATGGTTCTTGAATTTCATCTTTACATGAATACCGGACCCTTCAAACAGGACATGGGCCGATGCTTGGGACAGTACGTGGTAGTATTCAACTGTTCTGATCAAATGGATTTCCGCGGTCTTGGTCGAATCTTCAAGGGACTTGCTCAATCCGGTGCTTGGGGCTGCTTCGATGAATTTAATCGAATAGAGTTGCCTGTACTGTCCGTAGCGGCACAGCAAATTGCAATTGTCCTCTTCGCTAAACGGGACGGTCAAGACGAGTTCGTCTTCTCCGACGGAGATGTAGTTCCCCTAAATGCTGAATTCGGAATCTTCATCACCATGGTAAGTCGGTTCGACGGTGTAACGATGTGATTTAATAAAAACCACTTAGCCATCATTAGAGATGTGTGTGTATGTGTGTGTGCTGGTCTTCATTAACTGTTCTTGTTCAATCCGTTATCTGCTAGAACCCAGGGTATGCAGGTCGTCAGGAATTGCCGGAGAACCTAAAGATCAACTTCCGTACCGTGGCAATGATGGTGCCAGATCGACAAATTATCATTCGTGTCAAGATGGCTTCCTGCGGTTTTATTGAGAATGCACCCCTGGCGAAGAAGTTCTATTACCTTTATGGGCTTTGCGAACAACAATTAAGTAAACAGGTGAGCACTTCAGTGTTGTTATTTTTTTCACTTTGGGTCCAATAGACCGCTTAACTCATTAAATCTTACGAAGATCGCATGAAAATCGCTGTTACGCAAAATCGGCCCATTCCACGTCTTTCCGATATTAACGGAACGCCATTTAAAAAAAGAGGACAGAGATTGGTTTATTAATGAATATTGCGTTGTTTAGAAATGCCAATTTTTTAGAAAACAGAAAAACTTACATTTCAAAGGCCAATTCATAAAAAAAGCGAGTAAATAGATCAGCACAAGTAGAATTACGTTTGAGAACAGTTCTTTGGCACAGTCTGTACTTAGATGTCGTTTAAGGGTAAGTTGTCTATAAGGTATGACCGTTAACAAACAGCCTAGAGTTCGCGTATATATTGCAACACTGCTTCATGAGAATGAGTTGTTTTTTTAAAATTTTGTTGAGATGCGCTTAGTTATGGCTAAAGACGGTTTTGTTTGGGTTCGCGCATGGGGACCTCAAAGAAACAAAAGCTTCCATAAAGTCACACGTTGACAGTGACTAATAATTTTAAATAAAACTGAAGCATTGTTTTCCTGGAATAAATCTGAACAAGGCAAAGGTAACGAAGGTCGCAGAATTTCGTGGCCTTTTATTCAACTGCGTTCGGTCATTCGGTCAGACAAGATATACTGTCCAATTAAATTTCAACCTAGTGGGGCTGAAACCTGATAGGTAAATACAGCATGCGGATGCGCACAGCGAGGGGGGGAGGAGTTATCCAAGCGAGCCAGTTCAACTTCAAGCCTGATTCAAAGTGCACCGGTCCGCGAGCCGTCACTTATGCAGAGGGGGGGGAGGACGGAAAAGATAAAGGGAGTTACGTCCATTATCGATCGTTACCACGACAATGCGAGGTTTGTCACGTGATCGAATGGGCAACTTACCTCGTCTTACTACTAGGCAATGCCCAGACGCAGCTGAAGGAGAGGTCGCAAAATCTTATGACGTCAATAATTTCTGCGAAGTTCGTCACCTTCTTCTTAAAAGTAAGAGAATATTGAGAAGAAGACGACTCGGTCGCTGGGACAATACGTTTATTCGCTTGACGTTTCGAC